CGTTTTAGTATAACTTTTCGCTCGTTTATCGGAATCAGGCGATTCAAGCACCTGGAGTTTTGTCTTGAAACCCTCTTTCCGAATAATCAACTTAAACATGTTTTTGCTACTGCAAAATTTGACTTAGATCCAGATTACTAGAACGAAGTTATTTTCTTTCGCCGTTTGACTTCTTTTGCTTCGTTCGATTTGATTCTTTTTGCAAACCAGGGTTCTTAAGTTGAACTTTCTGGTTAGATCTTCTGTTTGAGTTTTACCTGTGCATTAGATGAGTACTTATTGTATGCTTGTTTGTTTGTCTGCGATAGAATACCCGGAGTGCGCCCCCTGTTACTTTGAATCTCTAGGTTTCACGGATCATCAGCAAGGCAAGTAACACTTTGATCATACCTTTTTCTACAACTCAGTTTTTCTTGCATTAGATCAATCTTCACACATTGCATGATTAGGATCTAATTAAATTATGGGATGGGAAGTAGATGAGGTAGTACCTATTACCTGTTTATTATCAAATCTTTGGGAGTTACTTCTACGTTTGCTTATTATGCCATGCTATGCTAGTAGACGTGGATTGGGTGAGTGATATCCATGACAGATGTGAGATTGATAATTAATGGTTTATCTAAGGTGGCAACCTAACACACATCTGGGTGGATTGAGGCACCTGGGTATTCCAGGACTTGCCTGTTTTTATTTTGGACCGCCACCCAGGCTCAAAGGGATCATGAGATTATTCATACTAAAAACTTCCGTGTGCAGCCACAAGCCATTATGGGCTCTGGCATAGTTGAGTAAGTCGTGCGAACTCTTATAGGGTAGACTAGCAGATGTAGGGGAAAGTAGGTGTACCGGTCTATCCATCGTAAGGTGCTAGCGCTTCTGAAAGACCGTGTCTCGGTCATCCGTTTCTCAAACACCATGTAGTGCGAGAAATCCAACGGAGGCGATCGAGTCTTGTGGGGAAAAGTGCGCAAACCTCTGCAGAGTGTATAAACTAATCATGATTAGCCGTGTCTCCGGTTATGGACATCTTGAGTATCTAGTACCTGGATTATCATGTGAATCTCAACATGTTACTCTAAAGTTAATTTTGTTGGGTTTTAATTATGTTACTTAATTGGGATTGAGAATGCTGTCAACCATTCTCAATGTTTAACAACCACCATGATAGTAATTAATTTTATTCCTTTGAAGTAGGGAAAATTGGCTTTACGCAAAAACTGTAACCATAGAGCTTTCCACCAGCCAAATATGCATATAATATAGCTGTTGCATTCCATTATTCTCTATGTGTTACCTTGCCAGCATATTCCATGTGCTGACCCGTTTTCGGGCTGGAACGTTAATGTTGCAGACTTTTCAGACGACGATTAAGGAGTTTTTAGGTCGTGGTTCTATACTCAGTGATGCCGTTGGAGTTGATGGACTCACTTACCTTCCAAGCCTTCCGCTGTTATCGTTATTAGATGGCCTTAAGCCATATTTATTGTAATAAGCTCTCTTTTGAGACACTCGATGTAATAAGTGTGTGATTGCTACTCTGCTATAAATCCTTCGAGTACTGTGTGGTGTCAGCATTACTGATCCAGGGATGACACCGGAGCACAGAGATCAGACTGTTTGAGGTCTGGTCGCTACAACAACCTATAACACTCTAGAGCATCTAATTAAACCATACATTGAAACTAAAAACATTTCGGTGCAACAACAAATGCGATCATAATCGCAACTAAGGTAACAATTGACTCAACGACATAATGATACCAAGCCTCAGTATGAATGGCATATTCTCTAAACTTTCTAATCTTCAAGCGCATTGCATCCATCTTGATCTTGTGATCATCGATGACATCCGCAACATGCAACTCCAATTCCATCTTCTTCTCCTCAATTCTTTTCAATTTTTTCTTCAAGTAATTATTTTCTTTTTCAACTAATTTAACCTCTTGACAAGAGGGTCGGTTGGAATTTCCTGTTCACATACCTCCTACATAAAAACATCTATGTCACGTTGGTCGGCATAAATTGTTATAAACACTAAATGAACAGTTATAAAAGATAATATACCACATCCGAATTATAGACGAGACGAGAGCCGACTGGGGCTGATACCAAAACCATGGCACTATATAATAACAAATAATAATAAAAGTAAGAAACTATACAAGTATCTGTCTAATCATACAACTAAGATTTTTTTATTTTAGAAAGAAGATAAGAACAAGAGGCTCACCACGGTGGTGCCGGCGACGAGATCGTCGCGGGCGATCGACAGCGGTGAGGACGGGGACGGGACAGGATGGACCGTCAAACCTAGACAAATCTTGAGGAAAATGGAGTTTGGAGGTCGAGCTTGGAGAGGATAAAGCTTAAGTGTGGCTTGGGAATTTCATCAAACACCTCATGTGCATAGGAGGTGAGAGCTAGAGCAACACACACCTGCACATGCCGGCCGACCAGAAAATAGAGCAGTGGGCGGGCAGGGACGGGGGTATATATAGGCTTATCTTTAGTCCCGGTTGGCGCCTAGAACCGGGATAGAAGACTGACCTTTGGTCCCGGTTCCAGCCACCAACCGGGACTAAAGGTGCTGGCCCAGGAGCGAGGCCCATTGTTCCTTGTTCGTGTCTGGAACCGGGACCAAAGGGGTCAGACGAATCGGGACCAATGGCCCCAAGGCCCGGCCGGCGCCCTGGCCTCACGAACCGGGACTGATGCACATTTTGGTCCCGGTTCGTAAATAAACTGGGATTAATGCCCTTATCCTGGCCTCAATCAAAGCCCTGTTTTCTACTAGTGTTAGTTCTATCATAGCATCTTGGTTTTGGAAAAGGTGTCGAATTGATTTAAAATATACGGTGCATATTTTTAGTTTTGTACTTTTGAATGACAGGTGTATGGCTTCTTGGTCTCTACAACCCATGGTCTGAACAAGTCCCGTAGCAACACGCAAGAATATGTACTAGTTGATGATAATGTATGTAAATATGTGCGCTGGATGCCAGCCTATATGCTATATGTATGTGATGTGAACAATATATATTACATGGACTGTACTGCGTACATCACAATACAGTACATGCATTTTTTAATTCAAAAAATTGTTAGCAGTGGCAGGTAGAGCACAGTGCTCGCCTGTGGTACATCTGCTATGGTGCACATATTTAGTACTGGCGGGTGCTACTTCATGCCCCCCACTGGTGGCGTTTTAGCAGTGGTGGGAGGTCAGTGGCGGGCTTGCTTGAGCCCCTAGCCCGCCACTAATGCCCATTTTGCACCCGTCACTGCTAGGCCTTTTCCCAGTAGTGTGTCACCACATAGGAGGATTGACATGGGAATTGGGAGAGAGATGGTTAGTTGAGCACTGGCCATAGGGGAGAACGTACGTTGCCCCAGTACATCTGGAACGACGTGGTGATCTCCCCCAACACGAGCTTACCCATGACCTTCCAGACCTCTTCCTCGCTATCTTCATGTGCCGTGGGAGAAGAGGGAGGCGATGATGGGGTTGAGGTGAAAGAGAAGACCGCACGGAGAACTCCTGCTCCCTCGCCTCGTGCGTCTTCGAGGAAGATGCCATCGCAAAATATCACGAGAGACATAGAGAAGAAAAGAGATTTTCAGGAAGGAGCTATCAATTACATGTAAAGATCGACAATAGAGATATTTTGGAGAAATTAATGAAAAGCATTGCACCTAAAAACAGAACAAAAGTAGTGGGGTAACGGGCGGGGGGTGGATTCTTTGGATCAAAAACAGTGGGGGAGGTGACCGCATGAGGGATGGAAGACGAGACGAGACTCCCCCTTTAGGAGTAGAGATAAACGATCACAAGTCTTTCGGCACCAGTAGTTTGAAGGTTTGGACTTCTGAATTTGGTTTGGATCATGTTACGTACTCCCTCCGTTCCAAATTACTCGTCGTGGTTTTAGTTCAAAATTTGAACTAAAACCACGACGAGTAATTTGGAACGGAGGGAGTAATATATAAGTTTGTATTGGCCTGCTATGTTTCTATTGTGCAGCTCTGAGAGATCTAAGGCGTTCATGAGACGTGTCTCGCGGGCGTTATATCAAAGACTGACATACTACACCATGAAGTGGTATGCAGGGTCTCCACACTCTGGCTCAGAGCATCGATTTAGACTTCTGTATGATTCTGCCTGCTCGAGCTATATGACCTTGATCTCGGGTCAGAATCGTATGCATTTGCTAGTGGTCGATCAACGATACAGAGTGAAGCCACTTTTCTATTTGACTGCATTTTCATCACCCAACTCCTTTAGACTTGTGTGGGAATATTGGACACCCATTTTAGTTGATTTTTGATTCCATCTGGGATCACTGTCCAATGTTATGGGCTTTTTGAGAGTATATGGCACCCATGGACCAGCCTATATGACCGTGTGTCCACGCGTGAATCTCGGCTTCACGTATAATTTCTATAATAACTAGTCTTCTATACATTAGATGTCGGGTCTCGACAAAGAATCTCCGGTCTTGAAAACAATACAGTAGCGGCGTGGTGCAAAGCCGTTGACTCTAATCTACATTACTCAGAAAATATTAACATCGGCGTCTTCACATGCTGACTGGAACAGTGATTCCATGTGCTGATTGGAACCCTGATTCCATTTATTCGAGATCATCAATACATTTTCTCGAATGCACACGAGTGTGCGTATCATGAGATCATTGATACATGATTCAAAAGTATTAAAGAAAGATCATGCATGCTATGTGAACCCACAAAGCCGGTACGCCACATGTACGGGCCATTTCTCCAACGATAAGACACCACCCTAAATTTACTGGTCGTGTGCATTGTTATTATGCAGAGGCTGAGGCCATACCCTTTTCGAAAGAAAAAAATCACCCTAAATACATGTTTCTAGGATAAGACGCTATAGAGAAGTGTTGGAACAATATGTAGCCGATTATCCTTGGATCCAACAGTTTCTTTTTATGGGTAACTAGATGTGACAATAATGATTGCAAGTATCATGAATCTTCTCTCAGGGTGTGGGCTTGGTCGACCGGCCTAGACCCCGTGAGGAAGTCACGGTACCAATTCCCTGACATTTTTGGAGTCCTCTCCCGCGTTTCAAAATCTACATGATACAACCCAAACCTCACGGTGAAACCAAAACGCCACTCGAAGTTGTCCATGAGACTCCACACGAAGTAGCCACTCACGTTTGCTCCTCTCCTGTAACAATGCCAAATGTGTCAGAAAAAGAATTTACACATTTCAGAATGCAGAGTTGTGGACGTGTCCATGTAAAATAAAAAGTAACATGCCCGTCAAGGATACTTGTTTTTGTAGGGGTGTCAAGGATCAGTGGCGGAGCTACGTTGGTTCCTGCAGGTGCCGTGGCCCCCCCCAGCCTTGGTAAAACTACATGGGGAATTTTTTAGGGAAGATTAGATTAAGAAAAATATTGTCT